TTTACTTCTTCTTCTTCATCTTCTCCTTCTCCTCTTCCTTCTCTTCTCCTCCTCCTCCTCTTTTTCTTCTCCTCCTCCTCCTCTTCATCTCCTTTTTCTTCTCTTCCTCCTCCTCCTCTTCTTCTTTGTCTCCTCCTCCTCCTCTTCTTCATCTCCTCCTTCTCCCCTCCCCCTCCTCCTCTTCTTCTTCGTCTCCTCCTTCTCTCCTCCTCCTCCTCTTCTTCATCTCCTCCTTCTCCCCTTCCTCTTCTTCTTCTTCTTCATCTCCTCCTCCTCTTCTTCTTTGTCTCCTCCTCCTCTTCTTCATCTCCTCCCCTCCTCCCCCTCTCCTCCTCCTCCTCCTCTTCCTCCTCCACTTCTTCTTCATCTCCTCCTTCTCGTCCTCTTCTTCTTCATCATCTCCTCCTCCTCCTCTTCTTCATCTTCTCCTTCTCCCCCTCCTCCTCCTCTTCTTCTTCATCTCATCCTCTTCTTTTTCTTCTTCATCTCCTCCTTCTCTTCTCCTCCTTCTCCCTTTCCTCTTCTTCTTCTTCTTCATCTCCTCCCCCTCTTCTCCTCCTCCTCCTCTTCCTCCTCCACTTCTTCTTCATCTCCTCCTTCTTGTCCTCTTCTTCTTCATCATCTCCTCCTCCTCTTCTTCTTCATCTTCTCCTTCTCCCCCTCCTCCTCTTCTTCTTCATCTCCTCCTCTTCTTCTTCTTCATCTCCTCCTTCTCTTCTCCTCCTCCTCTTCTTCTTCATCTCCTCTTTCTCCCCTTCCTCTTCTTCTTCTTCTTCATCTCCTCCTCCTCCTCTTCTTCTTTGTCTCCTCCTCCTCTTCTTCATCTCCTCCTTCTCCCCCTCCTCCCCCTCGTCTTCTTCTCCTCCTCTTCTTATTCATCTCCTCCTTCTCCTCCTCCTCCTCCTCCACTTCTTCATCTCCTCCGTCTCCTCCTCTTCTTCTTCATCTCCTTCTCCTCCTCCTCCTCCTCTTCTTCTCCTCCCCATCCTCCTCCTCCTCCTCCTCATTATTCTTGTTGTTGCTGTTAATTATTACGCCTCCTTTCCATAATGTACAATTTGGCAGATAAAGGAGCTGTCCAAATCTCCCTTGGCACATTTGAATATATTTTTAATTTTTTTAAAAAAATTATATGGCACTTTCCAGAAAGGTTAATTCAAAGCCAGACCAGTCAAGCTCAGTCAACAATAAAAGGAACACAAAACCCCCTTTCCAGTTGTTTATTAATGACTCAGATGAGGGTTTAGAAAACAGCCCCAAAAATTGGATATGCAAATTTCACAATTGCCGGGGAGATAGCCAACACTTCAGAGGATAGCACCAGGAGGATTTGGGCAAGCTGGAAAAAAAAAATGTGCAGCGATCATTAAAATCAATTTCAAATTGAGACGGATGCCAAGTTTATATGAATATAGGATGAAGGGGAGTAGGTTGGGCAGGGCATCGCATGAAAAGAGATTGGGGTGTCTTGGTAGATCAAAGACTGAAGGAACGCCAACAGTGTGATGCAGCAGCAAACACAGCAAATCTAATCCTTGGCTGCCCTCAACAGAATATCAGGTTCAAGAGACATATTCAAGAGATTTGTCAATTCGATCGCGTCTAGAATATGAATCCCGTTCTGGGCACTGTGTGATTGTTGTTGTTAGTTTTTAAGAAGAGGTGGTTGTTATTAGTTGCGAAGTCGTGTCCGACTCATCGTGACCCCATGGACAATGTTCCTCCAGGCCTTCCTGTCCTCTACCATCCTCCGGAGTCCATTTAAGCTCACGCCGACTGCTTCGGTGACTCCATCCAGCCACCTCCTTCTCTGCCGTCCCCTTCTTCTTTTGCCCTCCATCGTTCCCAGCATTCGGCTCTTCTCCAGGGAGTCCTTCCTTCTCATTAGGTGGCCAAAGGATTTGAGTTTCCTCTTCAGGATCTGGCCTTCTAAAGAGCCGTCAGGGTTGATCTCCTCTAGGACTGACCGGTTGGATCGCCTTGCAGTCCAAGGGGCTCGCAGGAGTCTTCTCCAGCACTACGTGATAGGAAGGACATTGACAGATATGGAGAATGTTCCTAGGAGAACAACTAATAATAAGGTTATTCCTGCAAGCAAGAAAAATCAAGGAGCAGTTGGAGTTGTGGGGTATGGTCAGCCTGGAGATGGGAATTATGTCCAGTTCTCGGCATCACAGTTCAAAAAAAGACGCAGTTTCAGAGAAGGTTTACCAAGATGGTGAGGATCTCTAGAACAGAATAGAGTAGAGTAGAATAGTATAGAGAATAGAATAGAATAGAATAGAATAGAATAGAATAGAATAGAATAGAATAGAATAGAATAGAATAGGGAATGGAATAGGAAATAGAGTAGAGTAGAGTAGAATAGTATAGAGAATAGAATAGAATAGAGTAGAATAGGATAGAATAGAATAAGAAGAATAGGGAACAGAATAGAATAAGAGTAGAGTAGAGTAGAGTAGAGTAGAGTAGAGTAGAGTAGAGTAGAATAGAATAGAATAGAATAGAATAGGGAATGGAATAGGAAATAGAGTAGAGTAGAGTAGTATAGAGAATAGAATAGAATAGAATAGAATAGAATAGAATAGAATAGGGAATGGAATAGGAAATAGAGTAGAGTAGAGTAGTATAGAGAATAGAATAGAATAGAACAGAATAGAATAGAATAGAATAGAATAGGGAATGGAATAGGAAATAGAGTAGAGTAGAGTAGTATAGAGAATAGAATAGAATAGAATAGAATAGAATAGAATAGGGAATGGAATAGGAAATAGAGTAGAGTAGAGTAGAATAGAATAGAATAGGGAATGGAATAGGAAATAGAGTAGAGTAGAGTAGTATAGAGAATAGAATAGAATAGAATAGAATAGAATAGAATAGAATAGAATAGGCCAAGTGTGATTGGACACACAAAGAATTTGTCTTGGTGCATACACTCTCAGCGTACATAAAACAAACCTCATCAACTACCAAGAATGCACTTGCCTTCATTAACAGGGCAACCCACTTGTATATAAACAGATAGGGAAATCCCTTCTAGCACTGATGATGTTACCTAGTTGGGTCATGAAACGTCTGTGAGAAAGCAACCAACTTCAGAGAGCACCAAGGTCTCCACAGCTCAACTCTGAGCTACAGATATGGTCTTCTGTTGCCAGGAGGAACAGTTAAAGGTCCTGGGCATGTTTAGCCTTTAGAAGAGATGGCCTAAAAGTAGGTAGAAGAGCTCTCCTTCACATACCTGAAGAAGAAAAGATCCTTGGTTGTTTAAACAGAGGCATAGAATCAAAATCACGTGAAGTATTAGACTGCAAGGCCATCCAACCGGTCAGTCCTGGAGGAGATCAACCTTGACTGCTCTTTAGAAGGCCAGATCCTGAAGAGGAAACTCAAATCCTTTGGCCACCGAATGAGAAGGAAGGACTCCCTGGAGAAGAGCCGAATGCTGGGAACGATGGAGGGCAAAAGAAGGAGGGGACGGCAGAGAACGAGGTGGCTGGATGGAGTCACCAAAGCAGTCGGCGTGAGCTTAAATGGACTCCAGAGGATGGTAGAGGACAGGAAGGCCTGGAGGAACATTGTCCATGGGGTCGCGATGGGATGACTTCGCAACTAACAACAACAAATCAGTGCCACTTTATAAATCCTTAGTAAGGCCACATCTGGAATACTGCATCGAGCTTTGGTCACCACATAACAAAAAAGATGTTGAGACTCTGGAAAGAGTGCAGAGAACAGAACTAAAATGATTAAGAAAGTCCAGTTGCCTCTTGAAAAAGCATCTTTGGGACATCCATGACCTGGATGACTGAGAATATCCATAGATAAAATGATGAAAGTCTGGAGTCTCGAGGCTAAAACAGACGATGAACAGTTGCAAGAACTGGGCATGGCTGGTCTAGTGAAGAGAAGGACCAGGGGAGACAGGATAGCATCTTCCAATATTTGAGGGGCTGCCACAGAGAGGAGGAAGGGGGTCAAGCTATTTTCCATGAAGGCCGGACAAGGAACAATGGATGGAAACTGAACACGGAGAGATTCAATATGGAAATAAGGAGGAATTTTCTGACAGTGAGACCAATCAACTAATGGAACAGAAGTTGCCTTCAGAAGTTGTGGGAGCTTCATCCCTGGAAGCTTTCAAGAAGAGACTGGACTGCCATCTGTCAGAAATGGTGTAGGGTCTTCCTGCTTGGATGGGGTGGGGGGTTGGACTAGATGACCTACAAGGTCCCTTCCAACTCTGTTAATCTTTATCTGTATCTGTCTTCAAAGAACAACCAGAAGTTCAGTTGCCTCTTTCAAAAAGCACCTTACTAAATTTGCTTACAAATAGAAACTGGGTTTGTTGCGTTTGAGGGTCCACATTTGGGAAGATCTGAGGGAGGGTCTTTCGCAGCCAAACCCCTCCTTTGTCATCCGAGCACAGATCTATCCCTGCCAGATTCAAGGCTGGTGTTTCCATTTTATCTCCTGCGGGGGGAACATGGCCCAGGCAAAGGATGATGGGACCTGTAGTCGAAGACCTCTGGCTGGTACACAGGTTCCAACCTCGACTACCTCTCTCTAATTTTTTTTGGTTTTTTGATTTTTTTTAGCTATCCCCATTCTGCAGATGGAAAGACTGAGGGCAGGCAGGATTATTATTATTATTTCTCTCTCTCTCCACGTCTGAATGAGGTAGTTAGACCCGTGCTGTGTTTTTGGGACCCACGCCGGCTTCATCTGGAGAAGGACCAAGAGGGGTTTCAGAAGTGGAATTCTGCAATTCTTGATTTCTCGCTGCCTGGGGGGGGAAAAATCGGATGATAATCAGGATAACAGCAGCAGCAATGAGGATGAAAATAATAATGAGGATGAGGATAGCGATCCTTGTTAAGGACATTCCTTCTTTCCGGTGGGTCAGCTGAAGAAGGGTTAAGCATCTCGTGTTTGTGTGTGTGTGTGAGAGAGAGAGAGCATAAGAGGGGAACTGTGCTCTCCCAGCCTCCCTCCCTCCCTCTCTCTCTCTCTTTCTCCCTCTTTCTGCAATAAATCCAGCTTAAAGGACGACAGCAGAAGAGCCTCAGAAGGATTAAAGAAAGTCTGTATAATACAGACGCCGGCACCAAAGCGCAGAAGAGGGAGGAAGGAAAGGGAGAAGGAGGGTGGGGGGGAGAGAAGAGAATAAAATAAAATAAAATAGACAGGCGACCGAGTGGGGAGGAGAAGGAGGAGGAGGAGGAGTTGAAGGTTTGCATCCCAAACTCCAATCTGACTCTTCCATTCGGGCGAGAACCACAAAATCAGCCTCATCCGTCCATCCGCTGGGTACCACTTGGCAGCATCTTCCTTCTCCAGCTTCTCTCGCTCTCTCTCTCTCTCTCCCTCTGTGGTCCTCTTCAGGTTTTTTGTTTTTGTTTTTTTTTCCTCCCTCTGGTCCGCCGGGCACCCAGCGATGGATGCCACCCGCCCCAGACGCTTCCGTGCCCCTTTTCTGCCTCTGCTCCCCTCCGGAGCCTCCTCGCCGAATGGGAGGCTGGCGTCTTTTTGAACCAGATGGCGTTCAGATTCAGAGGGGAAAGGGAAACACAATGTGCTGCCTGCTGTTGTCGCTTTGCTTTCTATTCAGCAAACTCCTCGATTATGCTGCTTTGGGTAAGTGGGGAGATCTTGCTGGGGGGTGGGAGGAAAGAGGGGAAATCAAAGGGGGGGTTTGCTTCTCCCACCCATCCTTACCTTCTCCCCACTACCTCCCTCCCCACCCCGGGAAGGAGATCGACCAAAATATCCGGGCTCCATGGTGCATGGAATATTTGGCAGAGCTCGCCAGAGGATGGAAGAACCCGGGGGGAGAAATTTTCTGAACTCGTGCCAACTTTGAATCCCCCATTTATGCAGGGAGGGGGGGGGGATTCGAGGGTGCCAAACCTGTCCTTCCTTCCCAAGCCTTCCCCCCCCCGCCCTCTTCTGGGCTACAAACTGGAGTCAATTGTTTGCCAAAGGAGTCAGGGAAGAAGAGAGGGGTGCACGTTTTGTGTGTGGTGGTGGTGGTGGTGGGGTACTCTCGTCCCCGCCATCCTTCGCCTTCCTTCTGTGCCAAGATCGTCTCTCTTTCCTTATAAGCTTCGATTCTTCGAAGGTAGGAAGAATCGTCATAAATTACGGGCAATCCGTGGAGGTGGCGGTGCGGGGGGGGGAGGGAGGCACTTTTCCTTTGAACTCGACACTCGTCTCAATCAACCCTCATTGTGGATCTGCTTTGAGCGGGCTGGAGACGGGGTGGGGGGGGTGGCTAGAGAGTCTCTGGGTTGCCGGCTTGGCTTTAGGCTCCCCCCAAAATGCCATTTGAGTTGGTGCAAGCAGAAGCATCTGTCATGGGTCAGGAGGAGTGAATGCAGGGTGTAAATGCCACCCTGGCATTTATGGCAGGTGGGGGGGCAGGCGTCCGATTGTTTGTGGGTTGATGTGAACCCGTGTGCAATGGGGGTGGGGGGCTATGCTCACAGCAGGAATGACTAGCTAGTTGACTAATCCCTCCTAGCATCGGGGGTGGGGGAGAATACCCCCCCTCCCCAAACCTTCTCATTCTCAGCTGCTTAGCTATGCCCTCTGTCCTTCCCCAGTCGCTCCCTGGAGGGCATCAGACTGGACAACAGCTTATTAATTGGTCCTTCCTTCCTACCTCCCTGCCTAACCTGCCATCATTTCCCCCCCACATACACACACACACATACCCCACCCATCCATGCTGTGGGTGTGCGCTTTGGCTTATCCCAGTTGAGACTCAATGGACCCCAGCCGGTTTTCCTTCATTACACTGGCATCCCAGAGGTTATACCAGGTCACGGGGTTAATCCTTGGGCTTGGCAGATGTCAGCGGCGTGGAGAAAGTTTTGCCAGTTTTTATTTCCGACAAACTAAGGAAACCCACCATTTTGGGGGCAAGGTGCAAAGTGAGTTAATACAGCCAAGATAAGGGATATCTCGGGGTGTTTTAGCCTTCCCTTCCCATTGCTGTGTTTCTTGCGGGTACAACCTAGTTACAAATCAGATCAGAACGGTGATTCAATCAATGTTTGAATCACGATCCTTGCTTTTCCAGTTGTTCATTTTTATTTTTTATTTTTTTGGGGGGGGTTCTTGGCTTGGAAGCGCTTGTTATCCCAAAACATTTCTCCCTCTCTCTCTCTCTCTCTCTCTCTCTCCCTCCCTCCCTCCCTCTCTCTCTCTCTCTCTCTCGTTGTTTTTTTGTTTTTTAAAGAAATGCTCATTTTTCCAGGTGAGGTTTCGGAAAAGGTGGCTTTAGAAATTCACTTCTGTAATTTGCAAAAGACAAGCAAGGTGAGGCATGGTGGCAAAAGTTTTTTTTTTCCCCCTGCATTTTGTAGGGAGGTGTGAGCTGTGGGAGTTCCTGTTGGAGAGTTTCCAGCACAAACAATTTGGGAATGATTTTTTTTTTTTATGGATAGTCCGAAATTGCAAGCTTTTCTTTTTCAAACTGAGCTCGGTCGAGGGGAGAGCTGAAATTTTGGGTGAGAAACCTTTGACCCGAGTTGCGTGAAGGGATTTTTCCCAACGTGGGTTACGAAGTTTCTTTAAGGGCAGAACAAGAGAAGATCCTTATTTATGGCTTGCGATAAAAATAATAATAATAATGACCCAGTTGTTTTATTTGATGTTATTTACAGAGGCAGAAAAAACAACAACAACGACAGGTCCAATAAAGAAACATGCAGCTTGGCTCATTGGCTTGAGTTACCTAGACATATTAACAGAAGTTAACAGTTAACAGATTAACAGAGTTGGAAGGGATCCTACAGGTCATCTAGTCCAACCCCCTGCCCAAGCAGGAGAGGAGACCCTACAATGAAGTAGATCAAGATTTTTTATTTATTTATTTATTTTGCTGGGCTAGTCCATACTGATTCTTTAAACGTGGAGGGGCAGTTAGCAGCTAGGTTAAGTTCTCTCCCCCGCAACTCGTCAGCGTTTGAAGTTAGATGCACTTGGTTTGCAAAACCTTTTTGCCCTCCTTGAGCATTTGTTTATTTTTTTAAAAAAAGTTTTTCATTTTTATTTTTCATAAACACATTTACATGTACGGTCATTGAATGAAAAATGATGGCTTGAGCATTTGTTTAAAGGACAATTTTCCAAAGTTCGCTAAACAGAGGACAGGCAGCAGGGCAGATCGGATGGGACGTTTAACTCTCCTGTGCTTCAAGATGGATTTAAAAATGATTTTAACAGAACCTGAAGGATGGGGATGGTCGTTTTTTTATATATATATATATATATATATATGTTGAATTGGTGGAGATTCCTTCTTTGGCCAGCAGAGGGTGCTGCTGGGTGCATTTCCCCAGCCAACCCTGGTCTTGTCTATTAGCAGACTCTGGTTAAGCCACGAAGTCGCAGTTCAGACAGGAAAACTGCCCCCATCGGGTGCAGAATATACAAACCTTCCTCCCTTCCTCATCTTCCTTGTCTCCCTGGGCCGTGCATTGTTCCCTGCAATAGAGAGAAGCCCGTTCAGGATGGGAGAAAAGCTTTGAATAATGGAAGCATCATCACCAAAGGTGGGCAGCCTTTTGAAGTGGCCGGCAGGTAATAAAAATTTAATGGGCTGGAAACTCTCTTCCTTCGTGCTCGGCTGCCCGTGGCCGTGGTCTGTCTCGTGTCAGTATGCGAAGGGTCAAACAACCGTCTGTAAATCTCCAGCGAATGTGACACCCAGCCGTGGGCTGAGAATCTGGGAATCTGAAGCTTTGCCTTTTTTGCCTACCTGGGAATATCTTGGCAATACTGGATTCTCTTTGTTTGGGACCCATTGGATTTACCTCTCTGGGAAGGCTTCTCCTGCATGCTTACTCCAGAGTAGAACTTCATCTTGTTGAGCTTTGGCTCTCTGGGAAGGATTGGACCAGATGGCGGCCTTAAACAGGACACCTCCTTAACTCCTTCTCGGAATTTGTACACGACTCAGAAATGTTAAATGAAACTTTTGTGGAGGGGGTAACATGCCCTACTGTGGCCAGGAGTGGTGGCTGGATTTTTTTCTTTGCTGACCGAAAATCACATCCTTCATGTCTTCTATCAGAATTTGGAAAAAGTGATGTCCGAAGCTCTCGAGAACTGCGTACAAGTTAATATCAAGTCACTTCTTGGATCAAAAAAAAAAAGACGTTATAGTTTGAAAGAACGGCACCAAATTTGCAGCGAAACGGAGAAGAAGCGAAGGAAAGGTGGATGTGAAAATTAATTGGATTCAACTAGGGGCTGCAGATAAGAGGAAAAAATTGCAGAAAATCCCTCCAAATTTCTCATTGGGAGAGTCAACCAGGCAGTGGTTGGAAATTCTGCCAGTAGTGTCTTGCTATCTTTCCTTCCTTCCTTCCTTCCTTCCTTCCTTCCTTCCTTCCTTCCTTCCTTCCTTCCTTCCATCCATCCTTCCATCCATCCTTCCATCCATCCATCCATCCATCCATCCATCCATCCATCCATCCATCCATCGCCTTCCTTTCCTCCTTTCTTCCTTCCATCCATCCATCCATCCATCCATCCATCCATAACATCTTCCTTCCTTCCTTCCTTCCTTCCTTCCTTCCTTCCTTCCTTCCTTCCTTCCTTTCTTTCTTCCTTCCTTCCCTCCTTCCTTCCATCCATCCATCCATCACATCTTCCTTCCTTCCTCCCTCCCTCCCTTCCTTCCTTCCATTCATCCATCCATCACATCTTCCTTCCTTCCATCCATCCATCACATCTTCCTTCCTTCCTTCCATCCATCCATCCATCCATCCATCAAATCTTCCTTCCTTCCTTCCTTCCTTCCTTCCTTCCTTCCTTCCTTCCTTCCATCCATCCATCCATCCATCCATCCATCCATCACATCCTCCTTCCTTCCTTCCATCCATCCATCCATCCATCCATCCATCCATCCATCCATCCATCCATCACATCTTCCTTCCTTCCTCCCTCCCTTCCTTCCTTCCTTCCATCCATCCATCCATCCATCCATCCATCACATCTTCCTTCCTTCCTTCCTTCCTTCCTTCCATCCATCCATCACATCTTCCTTCCTTCCTTCCTTCCTTCCATCCATCCATCCATCACATCTTCCTTCCTTCCTTCCTTCCATCCATCCATCACATCTTCCTTCCTTCCTTCCTTCCTTCCTTCCTTCCTTCCTTCCATCCATCCATCACATCTTCCTTCCTTCCTTCCTTCCTTCCTTCCATCCATCCATCACATCTTCCTTCCTTCCTTCCATCCATCCATCCATCCATCACATCTTCCTTCCTTCCTTTCTTCCATCCATCCATCACATCTTCCTTCCTTCCTTCCTTCCTTCCTTCCTTCCTTCCTTCCTTCCATCCATCCATCCATCCATCCATCCATCACATCCTCCTTCCTTCCTTCCATCCATCCATCCATCCATCCATCTTTGAAGACATCACCGGAACTGTGCACCGCATAGACATCTTGTCTTGCCTTTCTTCACCTACATCTTCTCCTCTTGGAAAGTAAAGTTCCTTCAGATTATCTCTTCTCCTCCAGACTTCCTCACCCTTGTTGTGGTTTTGCTGATGGGGCTTCTGGTGATTTGCTTTTTGCTTTGTGGTGAAATTTTGCTGCCTCCAGAAATCCATGTTCTT